GCAGGAGTTGAAGTCCTCCATACTAGAGGGGTTTGGACCGCAAGTGCCTTTGGATTCATGAGGGGAGGTAATGGCGTTAAAATCGCCTCCTACAATCCAGCGATTGTTAGAGGGACAGAGAGAACAAAGTTGATTCCAAAGTTCCTTCCTGGCCATGACTGTGTGGGCACCATAAATTGCAGAGATCAAAATAGGGGAGTTATCCATTTGAAGGGTGAAAATGCAGTTGGTTACTTGAGGTGAGTCAGTAAAGGAGCTGAGTTTAAAACATGAATCATTCCAGAAGAGCCATTTTTTATTATTATGGGATCCAAGATAGTGGGAGAAGTTGAGTTTAATACGGAAGGATTCCAGTTGAGAGGGGTTAACCATAGGTTCCAGAATGCAAAGATAGTCCAAGTTGTGTGCACTCCTTAAGGAAATAAGTCTGCTGAGAGAGGAGGCAGCCCCACAGACATTCCAGAAGAGGAGTTTCATAAAAGAAACTTGGGAGCGGGTACATCCTTAGAAGTCTTGCTTCGAGTCATCACCGATGATGGTGGAATGTCTTTTTTGACTCTATGGTGCTTAGGGAACGGAATAGATTGCTTTGAACATCTACTAACGTCCAAATGAAAGGGGGTAGGGGGGGATGTGATGAAAGGTGTATCACCTTCTCCTCCATCAGAGTGGCAAACAAATGGGACGGGTTCCTCCAAAATGGAGTCATTGTCAGACTTGGTTTCCCAGGTAGTTTGAAGCTGAGCATTGATCCAACAGTCATCTTTGCTACCCGATCTAGGAAGTTCACTGTTTGAAGGTGGGAAGACTCCCAGTGAGTAAGAGTCCTCCTGGAATGGGTTAAAAGGAATAATGTCCATGCAAGTTTGAGGTTTGTGGACTTGGAGGAATGAGAGGTCATGAAGAGGGTCTGCATGAACGGGCTGGTGGTAAGGCTTGCTGAAATGGGGCTTATTATTGGTGCGAGGGGTAAGAGAGGTATCATCTTCAGTAACATCTTCCACCGTAGGCATCAGGTCCTCCCAATTAACCTGTTTGGCTGTATGGTTGATTGAGGGTTCACCAACTTGGACCTGAGAATATATATATATATATATATATGTATGTATATATGTATATATATATGTGTGTGTGTGTGTGTTGAAAAATGCTTTTACAGAGAAAAATCCTCAGGCACTACTGCCGGAATTCATGGGCCGGAAAAAGCTTTTCTCAGAAGTTCTTAACACAATTTCTGAAGAAGACAAATTACAAGGTTCAGTTCAAGGTGATTTCAAGGGCTGTCCATCAGTATCCTTCACACCTAAAGATATTTAGAAGCTTTCCATGAGATTCACCAATGCTCTGATTGGTACATTTGCTCGAAGGCCAGCTTATGCAATCTTGAAGAACTTCTTGCAGAAGCTTGGACTGCAGGGGGAATTTTCAATTGGAACACTATCCTTTAATCAGGTTCTTATTAATTTTCAGTATGAAGAAGATTATCAAAGGGTGTTTCTTAGACAAACTTGGTCAGTAGGTAATCAACTTATGGTGGTTACCAAATGGACTACTGATCACACAGAAAGGATTGATTGTCCTGTGGTTCCAGTTTGGGTTAGCTGCCCTAAACTTCCCATCTTTCTTCATGATCAGAGAGCCCTTTCTATAATAGCTTCTTCTTTAGGAAGGCCTCTTAAAGTGGATGAAAGCACCCTCAGGTTCTCTAGACCAGAACTGGCTTGTTTTTTTTGTTGAAATTGATGTCTCCAAGCCACCCCCTTCTAAGATTCATATCAACCTGGGAGGGAAAGACATATTTCTCCAACTGGTGTATGAAAATATTCCACATTATTGTTCTTCATGTTCAAAACTGGGTCACTTGAAAGGTCACTGTAGGAATCAAGAGAGGGAACTCAAACAACCAGTCCAAATCAGAGAAAACAAGGGCAAAGAGATAATTGGAGAAAAGTGGACTGTTATTACCTCCAAAAGAGGTGGGTCTGAAGCTGTTTGGAAAAGAAAACTGGGTCCCTCTTCTTCTG